GGCAAGGACCAACCTTTGGGAGAATGAAGTAGCGGCCACCTTCCACATGAAACCTCACCTCTGCCAGCTCAACAACAGCCACGAGACCCTGGCAAAGAGAGGAAGCAAGAGAACCGAGCCCCTGAGGTGGAGCAAAGGGAGGGGGAAAAGGAGGGAGGGAAAGAGGAAGGGCGTGTGGTCGGTCAGAGCATTGGAGGGAAAAGCAGATGGAGAACCATCCTTGCCACCGCGACACACAAATTTACTCGCGCTTTCCCTTTACAATCCACTGTCTGCTTGGTAAGAATCCATTGACGGCGGACAGAGAGCATGGCGTCGGCATGGGGACGGGGGCGTATGGATACCAGCCCCCGCCTTCTCCTTTCTTCTCCACCCTTTGGCCCGTACCTGCACCAGTAATGCACCAACTCTCCGTGACCCATCCACAACCCCAGCGTTAAGTGCCCAAACCAAAGCTCGGTACAGGCGTTGCAAGTGATAGCCGACGGACCGCAGGATGGGAGTGACGGCGGTCTGAAGGGTTACAGCAAACAAGTGCACCACACCCATCCCGCTCTCTTTTCCGTGGCTCAGGAATATAATTTTTAAGGCTTTGATGGGATTTCCTGCTCGATCCGTTGGCGGCGCTTCGTGTGCTTGCAGCATCATATCCGCCTGCCCTCGTTTTTCCTGCTTGGTCATGCGCGACGTTGTCGAGAGGAACCAGCCTGCCACAGCCGGGGCAAATGGAGCCCTGCCAGCAGCAGCACTGGTGCTCGCTGTGCTAATTACATCATGCGTGACAGAGGAGGACGCCGAGGAGGCAGTCGTAGAAGCCATGAAAAGGAAAAACCAGGAGCAGAATAACAGCGCCACACTGCACAGACGCGTGACAATGCGCGCCTGTCGCCGGTGCCTCCCCTTCGGCAATTCGGCCATGGCAGTTTTAAGAAATATGATGGTGTTTTTGCTGGAGGTTGTCAGTGGTGCAAACAAGGAGGGCGAGTGCACCGACAGGTTGATGTTGGTGTCAGTTGCACTCTTTCCAAGCGATTCGGAGACCTGGGGACTGGAGTCTGCGCAAGGACGACCAGTATGAGAATCCAGCCCTTTATTAGAACTGTGCAATGCTTAGGAAACGGTTCAAATTTGACGTATGTTGGGTAAATGAATGCATGAATGGGCATTTTAGGTCCGATTTCAGTGTGGAGTGTTATGTCAGCTATGGGCTTTCGACCTCTTCGCTTTCTTCGCGTCACTTTTCGGACAGCGGCCCGTAGTTGTACAAAAACCAATACCACGGCCCGCCCTTCACACACCCACGCTAGTGTCCCATCGTCTCGTTGCTCCGTTGTTACAGAGCCCCGAGGGTTCGTGCATGGATCTATGTCCTCGATTTTGGCAAATAAACCGAATGACCGAGGAGGGACCTCCAAGGAGGCTCAACGCCGCGATTCGGTTCAGGTCTGAACCTTTATCCGCCGCCCGCCTCCCCCACGACGCACAGTACACCGCCCACGCACACCGGTCGCATGTTGTGGACGACATCGTTTACACTCCATTTGTGCAAGAGTCAAGGTCGGCATGCACGGCACTTGGTGATTTCGGGCACATCTTGTCGACGTCGTTCTCAGACGGAGGAGGCCGGTGACCTCCTCGCCGAGCCCCACTTTCCTATCCCGTGCACTACCCTCCCCAAGCCGTAGCGTCACGCAATGCGAAGCTGGATTGTGCTGGTGATGTGGAACAGTGCCTAGAGTCCAGGAAGGGAGCTGTGGCAAACGAACCTGAGACGGACGGTTCACCATATTTTAGTTTATTTTTCTGCTTATCACGGTACCATGGCACCTTTGCCCATATATGAAAACGCAGCATGGTGGAAACCGCCGCCCGGGTCATCAATTTTAGCGGCGTCCTTGGCACGGCTCCCACCATCGCCACGGGAGCAACAGGAGTGACCGATTTTCGACACGTAAAACGTGCCGCAGGTTATGGAGAGGCAAGCGGCAATGAGGAAGGGGGGCTGATGGTTTGGGGACATGGGCATGAGGCTCCAATACCCTCTAAACCATTGCAGCAGCCAGAGGAGACGCACTCAAAGCAGGGAGGGAAAAAGAAATTGAACAAGCGAGGGAGCCAGAATGAGGTAGATGAGCAGGAAGTTCCTGATTCAGAAGAGGAGCCAGACAGGTAGAGTGGGGGGATAGTGTGCTTCTGCCCATCATGACACGTCCGAAAAGGGGAGTCAGCGAAACAGATGACGCAGTAAATCCCATTCATACCCGTACACTCATACCCGTACACACATTGCCATGCCCGTGCACACATCGCCACCACCCCAGGCGCCTAAAGCCAAACGCGGACGCTCTGAGAAGGATCATGGGCACGGTCCACGGGCACAATCAGCGGGTGATGGAGAGCGTTGGGAGGGTTCAGGACTTTAAAACGGGCGACGGATCGGTGGAAGAGCACAGTAAGGAAGCCGAGGGAGGGGGCGGGGAAGGAGATACGGAGTGTTTTGCAGAGATTGCTTATGGACGCATATTGCAAGCTCGGCTTCCACGTCGAGAGCCCGCGTCGTGGGGGGCGTGCATCCGTAGATCGGGCAATGCTGATCGTATCCCTCTTTCTCCGCTCCCTTTCCATGATTTTCTGCGACAAGTTGTTTTTAACGCTGCTGTGGAGATATTGAGGCTCGCTCGATGTTATCAAGTCGGCATTACTTTCCAAGATCCCTCTTTAGCTGAGGCGGCCGCGCGGGCCCTGGATAGAGAGGGCGGGAAGGAAGGGAGGGAGGAACCGAGAGAGGGTACGACAGTACCGCGAGACCATCCATCCTCCTCGGGACTGGCCGGGCAGGTGGGGACGGAGACTTCCCTGAGCAGTTTGGAAGGGGAAGGAGTAGGCGCCTCGGGTGTGACGCCGGGGCTTCGGAAACGGCGGAGAGGGGGAAGGGGCACTTTGTTCGGGAAGGCATTCGCGGCTCTGGTGAGGGTGTCTGGGAAGGAAGGGGGTGAGGAAGGGACGAAGATAGGAGGGAAAAATGGGCCGAGGGCAGGGGGTCAGTCCCCTCCCGGTGGGACAGGGATAGAGGCCTCGAAAGGCCGGGCGTTGGCCGTAAAAATGGTCGACAAGGAGAGGGTGGCGGTCGCAAAATATAACCATGACGCGGGAGAACCCGAGGCGGTTGCGACGCGGGGCCCCGTAACGGTAATTTCAACCGTTACAAAGGGGCGAAAGCGACAGCGAGTCGCCACGGTCCCTGTCCTAGGGGAAAGGGGAAGCGGGGGAGGAGGTGGCAACGGTGTGAGGGAGGCTTGTGGTGTCGGTGCAAGCGGAGGGGCGGGAGTACGGAGAAGGCTCTCGGGGGGAAAGGGCAGGAAAGCTGAGGGGGCCGCGCGTGGCTTTCAGGCGGCCATCTCAGGGATTCTCTCAGCAGGTGGGGGTGGGACGAAAGGGAAATAAAGACACTGACAGGAAGGAGAAGGGCTCACGCGTGTATTTTTTAATAAAGCCATGTAAAAAGAAACATGTCACACGTCTGTGCTTGGTACCGAGGAGGCTGTATGGGATTTAAGTTAAATGTGGTCAGTCTGGTGAGAATCACTCTCATGCTTCACCACGGCCCCATGCCGTTGACCGCCGACTTGCCACATGTACTTTGAATCCAAAATCTTCTTCGTGTAGGAGGCTCTTGTCGATTATTTCACCAGTAAATATGCCTCCGGCAATGCGGAACAAGACACAGAGGCAAGCGGACGACGAACCCCCCCGGTTCAGGCCTTCGGCTCCACTGTCCGTGGGGGCCACGCATTGGTACCGCTACCTTATGCTTTTTCTTCAGTCTTTCCCTCATTATTTTGTTCTCAATTGGGTTACCCTGGCACGCTCCGTCTCACGTCGTGACGCGTGTCGGCGGACCACAAGGCAAGTTAGGCACGGAATCACGCATTTGTTCGACCTCATTTGTGATTTTAAATCTCCCTCTTCCTCCAAAATCATGCCAGAAAGAGCTGAAAAGACTATTTCTTCAAATTTGAATCACTTCATTGTACTGTAAAGCAAACGGTAAGGGTGAGCCGTGCCCCATCAATGAGGCAAAGTTCAGATAATAATGTGAAATTCATTCAGTGGGACCCACAGTCTTCATAAACCCCACCAACATCTTCAACCTAAATTGTATTTGTCAATGCTACTGCCAAGTTTTTTTAATACATCTCGAAACTATTGCCCCAAAGCAGCGGAAAAACCCTCGAGGGGGGGGTTCCAGGGGAGGTCGGCAGTCAGCCAGCAGGCTTCAACTCTCTTGTCAGCCGCTTGGTCTGAGGTCTTTGTGAACGTCTTCTCGCGCGCAAGCCCCCACACCGCGGGACGTCGCATGGTTACATGTGCACGTGCTTTTTGTTTCTTATGTATGGGGGCCTGAAGGATCTGAGGCTGGGTTTAGTGCCGCAGGTGTGCTTGTTGTATCCAAAGTGCTTTTTTCTTCTTCAACTTCTCGTTTACATGCCCCTTGGGTGGCGAGAAGGGCTGCCAAGCCTGAAACTTGTTTCACAGATTCTTTCAAAACACACAGTTGTAAAATAACGGCCTTAGTCTTATGGTGGCCTTGGTATTTTTCTATTATTCACGTTGTCTTTCGAAGAGATTTTCCTCAGAGCCCTCTCTCCCCTTCTTCCTGTTCCAAAACTTCAAGCTCGCATCCAGAAATCCGAGGCCCAGCAGAAACACCGGTCATTTGATGCGCACACGATTATACACACATTATCACACCAATCCACGACGCTAGTGACACACATATGTCGGGTCAAGCCATCGACGGTGGTGGAATGACCTCAACAACGTCCTACCAT